AGATCTGCTCAATAAGGCCATTTAAAGCTTCACGCATCTTCTTAGCCCTAGCTCGCGTGACTGGACCTCCTTGGCTGTGTAACGGATCACATGACGTAGTAGATATGTTGTTGTCTTGATTCCCATCACAGCCTTACTTCAACATTCACATAAGTGAAATTTGTCAAGGGTGCTTCTATAACTAACACACCCCACTCATTGAGTTACAAATTTCATTAATAGTATAAAACCCAACCCTTAATTCATTATGAGGTAGATGCATCCTCACCTTAGGGATGGGATCAAAAATTTTTTTCCATTAAATGTTAATGCATCATTCAACAGCTGCTTCTTTATGATTCGTTTTTCCCATTCGAAACCCAATTCTTAGAATTCAGGTTAAGTATCCTCATAGAAAGTTCTACATTATTGGGCTTGAATCTCATTTCCTTCAATGAGCACTAGACCTTGGACTATGTTCATAGTTTTTTCTTCAACTTTTCTCTTTACCAAAGACCTAGTTGGTGGGATAGTGGGTAATAAAGAGATTTAACTCATTCTTTTTCTCACTTTTTCACATCAACCCACCTGTCTACTAACTCATAAAATTCACATTCATATTTCTCAAATTCTCAATTCATGGTACCATAATTTTTTATATCAAATCGAGCTAGTGAACCACCATTTTCTTTCAATATACATTTAGAGACATGTAATTAAGAATTTTTAACTCAAACACCATTGTACCTTGTTGTACAATAGGAATGTCTATCATAGCATATCCCTTCTATTCAAGTAAAGCACCTTATTCTTTTTTCATTATACATCATTATACCATAATTGTATAATAGGAGTGCATATCACATTTGCATTGTTAAGCACCATTATAACTTATTGTATGATAAGAATGCCATACAAAATTTCAATTAGGCACCATTGGTCTCATCACCAATAACAATACATAAGGATATTATAATAATCCCCCACATTGAGAACATCTCAAATATGTGATTTTCAAATTTCTCAAATAATTGAGTTCATAAAGAAACTCGTTTTTGTCACAAGATTTTCAAAAGAGCATATTAGCTCATCCCCCATTTTATTGCTACAAATGGCTCCTTGGTCATGCAAGCTTAAAAAAATTTTACATTTCTAGAATATATCAACTCGAATTTCCTGTCCATTATTACCACAATAATTATATGGACCAAATTGGTTAGCTTTCTTCTTTAGTATTTTCACTTGGTTCTCAAAAATTTTCACAAACCCATTTTCCAAAGTTCTTGAATGAGTAACACAACATAGCTTTTGCTAAAGATTTGTTAGATCAACTAACAAAATATATGATCATGAACAATATTTTACACATAATGGCATGATCAATGCACCTATCATTTTACTAGTCATTGGAGTTAAATCACATTATTGGAAATGCATTAAAAACAAACCACTACATCATTTTAATGTGTTCATAATCATGCAATAACCAAGTGAAAGACTATATATAAATGCATTTAATTAATTTTTTTTTATAGTTAGAAATAAATTACAAAATAAATATTTTTTAGTTAAGGCTAACAATAACTATTCATCCAATAAAATGGCCATGTAAAACATTCAAGTAAATACCATAGTCATGTCAAAATTTGCTAGCAAAGAAAACAATTCCTTGGAGGACTGAAGTTAGTATGAATGGTATTATGGTACACCAATTTCACGTCTCTTTTTTATTCTTATTTTGTTGGCGTTCACATGCCATTAAAAATAAATAGCCTACCATTTAAGTATATGCCAATAATCATATTAAGATCCAAGACCTCATACTTATTTTGAGACACTGAAAACAATGAACTTACATTTTGCTTACACAAGTTGGCATAAGTGTGCCCTTGTTTTCTTATTCGTAGATATTAGATTCATCCCTAGTTCAATCCTAAATAGATTATTAGATGCAGATTGAATCGCCTTAAAATTGTTGTTCCTTTAACGCTCTTCTTCATCTCCATGTTATGTCATTGTTGTACTTCGATCAGAAAATAAAAAAAATAATAATTAGTGAACCTATTAGAAATAGCAATATGAAATTATTATCAAAATAGGTATGAAAAACTTACTTACTTTAAGTCAATTCACACTTTTATGGAGAGTAGATCAACTGGTGTAGTACATATTGCATTGCCCAAAAGATGCTACAGTTTTATAATTACACTATGAATCTACATTATTCATAGAGCCACCTAACTTAAACACCATTCTTTACCCAAAAATATTTAAAAGATAAAGTAAGGTAAAAAAAAATAGAAGAATGTGGAGGAATATCCATTGTCGAGCAAAAAGACATGTCCTATTTATAGAACTCATGGTCATGTTACTCCCATTTATAGGTTAATGATAGGAATAAATTGGGCAATTATTATAAAATAATGTGCCTTTAAATAAAGCAATTAACCTACAAAACTAGTTTGATCAAATTCTTAATAAGATAATAAATTTAATTTATAAAATATATTATTTTATTTTTTATTAAAATATTTAAGTTCCAACAACTTCTCTTTTTTTTTTACAAATATAGTTAGGAAGCACTAATTACAAAAAAAATCTTAAAATGACAATATATTTTACATTTAACCATAACCAAGTTTGTAATTATTTTTGATATTTTCAAATTTAAAATAATAAATAAATATTCAGGTGTAAATTTGATCAAATTCACAAATTAAGCCCCACATTTTAATATTTCAGGTAGTTTTTTATACAATTTTTATATATAATTTATATATATTATTAAATAAACAAATGCATATAATATCATAAATTTTAATAAAATGAAAATAATTAATTATTAAATAATATATAAAAATGCATAAATTTTTTTTATAAAAATGTTATCTCTCAATCACTTTCCTTTTTCCTTTTACCACCACGACAAATCATCTTTACTTCACATTTGAACAACCAATCATTATTTTACTTTTAAAGTTCCTCTACTATTTTCAGTTTTGTACAATACTTTACAATATATTATAATATAATATAATGTTAAATAAGTAAATAAATACAATTAATACATAATTATAAATGAAAAAGTAAATCCTAACATGTCACATAATATATCGTATAAAGTTACAAATTTATTGTACATTAAAATATAAAAATTGTATAAGTTAGTTGTGATTGAAAAAACTTTTCAATTGGAAGGAAATTAAATGGTTTTTAATAAATTGGTGCAGTTTTCACTTTAAAATTGTAAATTTTTATAGTTGTAATTGACAAACAATTATTTGCTAAAACTAATGTACTTTTATCATTTTTCTTCACTTTTTGTAAATAAATATATTTCTATATTTTTTCAAATAAAAATTTAGATGAAGACAATAAAAAAAATCAACAATATTTGATATTTTATAAAAAAAAATTTATGTAAAATTTAAGGATGTGTATGTGAACTTGTGAAGTCTAGAAATTACAAATTTCATGTTGATGGATTTTCTAAAAGGAAAACCCCATTCAATATTTAAAAAGAAATTGGTAATCAAGTAAGATTCTCCTCTCTTTATCTCAAAATAATTATACTCTTTATTTTTATTTTTTTTACAAATTAAGAATTTGAGGATAATTTATGCATTTACCTATATTAATGTTAAGGAAAAAAAATAAAAATAAAGAGAAATGTTAAGAGATAACAATTTAGGTTAAACTCAAAATAAAATATTTATCTTCCTTAAAAATAAAAATATAATAATTAATTTAAAATTAATTTTAAATAAAAAATAGTAACTATTTTGGAACAAATGGTATAAATTATATATATAAAGTAAATTTAGAGTTAAAATCTTGAATTGGAATATTTTAATCCTTATCATCTATAAGTAAAGCAAGGGTTTCTAAATTTAGAGTAAAAACGAACAATTCTACTCACAATCATGTGGTAGCATTAACGCATGAGTTTCCGTAGGCGAGTTGACACGGAGTGCGAGTTTAGGGGTCGAAGTTAAGGGCATCATGGCACGGAGCTACAGCCACGGGCACACAATAGGGGTGTGCAACGTCTAGGGGGCATGCCATGCAACGTCACAGAGTGTGAGCACGGACACGAGGGCAGGCACGAGCACAGGCACGAGCACGAGCACAGGCACGAGCACGAGCACAAGCACGGGCACAAGCATGAGCATGGACACAAGTAGCAGGACGCAGGTGTCGGTATCGTGACATGGGGTTGCAATGACACTTATGCATATGAGGGTGTAGGCGCAAGGTGGAACGCTCAAGAGGCAACAGGCCTTGTCAGTGGAGGCGTTGATGCTAGGGTCGTGGCATAAGGTTGCAGACAAGACACGTGGGAACGTGCGAGAGCAGTCGAGGGCGACATGCATGTGTGTGCAAGAGTGGCCTGGCTCGAGACATGGGTGCACACACAAGCAACATGGGTTGAGACGTTGGCACGCATGGGTGCAGTCGGGCTTGAGGCGTTGGCACGCACAAGAGCGGCAAAAAGCGTTAAGGAAGCGTGCCACGCCAGCAGCGGAGACGATATTGACACTCGATTTTACAAAGGGATTTAGGTGTCGATACCTCGGCAAAATCTGGAGTCGCCTAGAAAATTCTCAAAGCAGCAACGTGTGCTGGAATGGCTCCAGACAAGAGTTTGGAAGGGTCCATTGGGCCAAACTCGTGTAAATATCTTCCTAAAGCCTTGTACATAGTTCTAGAATGGGGTGTTCTAGAATAATGTAGGATTAAGCTAGGAGGGAGAGTGGAGAAAGTTTTAGAAATTGTACGTAAGAGAGAATTTTATGGAGTGTTCTAGAGACTCATCTGCGGAAGGGACTTGGGCCAGACCTCTTCTATAAATAGGGAGGCCAAATGAAGAAGAAGATAGGTTGGCTAGAGAGTGAGTTGTTAGGTGAGTAACTACATAAAAGGGCTGTGTACTCAAGCTCTTGTACCCTTCTTTGCGATCTTAATAAAATTCTCTTTTTCTCCCAACTTCCTACCCTTGAATTTTCGTGTTGCTAACCTCAAGCCCAATGGGAGGGCCACGTCAAGCGTTGGGGAAGGCTGACTTGGTTTGGGTTTAAGGGGTTATTTTTGAGTTAAGTGCCGCACAGGGTTTAGTTAGAGTCTCATCTTGTGACAGAGTGCCCTAGCACTGCTTATATGAAGTGAACATTCAAATATTCTTTCCATATTTACCATTATTATCTTTGTTTAACCTTAATAAACTTAAATTTTAATTTATAACATTTAAATTTAATTGTTTATTTTTTATTTTTAAAATGTAATTTAATGCAATTATTTTTATTTTTTTAAAAATAATTATAATATATATTAAATGAAAAAAATTATTTAAACAATAATTAATTAAAAATAAATATAAAATTTTATCAATTAATTATTATATTTTTATTTTATTAAAGAAAAACTAAACTTACTAAAGTTGTAAAAAAAAAAAAATCAAAAGTTTTTTTTTTTTTTTTAACAAAATTGAAAATCAAAAGTTTGAGTATATAACCAACAACCTGTTGATTTAAGTGAAAGAACTCGGTTCTCTTTCAATAAGGTTTCAAGTTTGAATTTTATAAATAAAGAAATAAATACTAAAAGAACTTCTCTTTTGTGGAATCTAATGTAATTTGATTTTGAATTAATTGAGGTTTAATGTGACTATTGGACATCCGAGTTAGTGCAAAAAAAAAAAAAGTTTGAATATACAAAGCACGTGAATTGGACATGGCAAACCAATCCTCTGGTCCATGGCCAAAAAGAAAAACTAATCCATTGGTTCCCACGTCATCATTCGGAACGGCAAAGGAATTGACCTTATAAGAATCCCTACCAACTGTTTGATTTGAGGGGAGAATATGGGAGGAAAAATAATTATAACTAATTAAATTATTTTGTTAATTTAATATCTTAATTCAATTGATGGAAATAAGATCAGTTTCCTTTCTTTCTCTATTTTTTCTTAAATCAAACAAACTATTTAGGGTTTAAAATTTTTTATGAAAAAAAAAAAAAAAACCTTTTTATTTGACTTAGGAATAATAATGGATCAATAATTGTTGAACTTTAATCAGCCAATTTTTTTTTTTTTAAGGAAAGTCATAGTTTTATATCAGTCACTTCTACATCTACATGTATCATCTCTTAACAAAGCTTGTTAAATAATGTACTGTCAGGCAATTTTTTTTTATAGAAACGGTACATACAATATATTAAAAAATTTCGTGTATGTTTTTAAATTTATCACTATAAATACATATCTTTTTTATAAATTAAATATATAACTTTATAATGATATTTAATAAGCAAAACAAAAATTAATACCTAAAAGAACAATTTTTAAAAATTAAAAACATGTTAAATATGGAAAATTTTATAAAACGTCTTTTTTTTTTTTTTTTGGGAAAACATAAGGATAATATGGTTTCCCCAAAAACCCTTCTTTTAGCTACCATGTGGCTTATGTGCTCAAATATACCACTTGCTTTATAGCAAAAGCATGAAAAAAGACTTTCTTGATAAGTCTCGTCTTTCAAGTGATCGTACTCTAAGTTGGATAGATGGAAAATGTCAATTTAATAAAGATATGCATCCTAAACCAAACAATTGGCAAGAATGAGGGATGCTTTCTTGCACAAATAGATTAAAAATAATGCCCTAGAAAATCAAGGACTTCTCACATCAAAGATTAATAAGTGTGTTGAAAGGAAGATAGACACAACAACTAAAATATAGACAACTAAAAGCAAACTGTTTCCTCAAAACCCTCAAGTGGCTTCGCATAGAGTAAATTTGGATAGAGGCGTGTCACTTATTTGAAAAGCAAGAAAAAAGAATTTTCTCAACAATTCTCTTTTCACACAGTCAACTTTTGTTAAGATGGCTAGAAGAATGTTGATTTAAGATTGAGTTCTACGCTTTTAGACGATTTGCAAGAAAGAGTGATGCCTTCTTGCAAAATGGATTACTAGTCTACCTTGGATAATCCCAAGGACTGTACCAATGTCATGAATTTAAAGTCAATAGATCCTCAATGTACTAAATGAAATGAAAATAAAAGTAGGCTTGGAAAAGATGAATGCATCTTAATTAAAATTATAATATTCAAAACCAGATTAACCTACGTCTATAAATAGATTTGCAAATTAAACTATCATAGAAATTTAAAATTTAAAAGTAATTAACCATAAAACATGTATGAACAAAGATTAAACTGACATGGTAAATAAAACAAGAAAAAAGCATGAATGCCATATAAGTAATCATTTTATAACAAATGCTGCTTACCATAAACTTAAAATAAACAATATTTAGAAAAAAATAGTACTTGTAGAAATTAAAATATTAGCTGTCAATTACATGAGATGCAATTATAGAAGCAAATACATGAATTGATTTAGCTATTTAAATATTGGAAACAACCTAAAATCTACAAAGTATTATACTGAAGATGAAATTTGTAGGCTAAAGCAAGTAGTCACAAACAAAATCTAAAAATGCTAAAATTGGTTCAAAGTTGTGTGTAGGGTTGGCCGTGTATTGAATAATATGAAACTTTTTTTTATTTCTTTTCTACAAACTATTCTCCCACCTTGCTGATTGTTACAGAACATGGATAGTTTCTCAGAGAAAATGAACACATCAGCAAGACCAAGTCAAGGCTGCATTAGATCTTGCCACCTATACCATTCTACTACTACCTCAACCCCTCGACTACACTTCCTCCTAAATTATAGGAGTTTTTGTTTCTTTTCAATTTAAATTGCAACTAATCAAATAATCATCATTGTTCCTCAAAATCAATCTTTACATAACAAGTGATATAAGTTTCAACCAATAAATTTGATGTGACCTCACCTTACCTATTAACATATGGTATCACTAAAAAATTATAATTTATGGTATAAAAGGAAATAAAAGGCATAACAACTAAAAAGCAAATATCCCTTCGTAAAATCTCTCTTAGTGACCTAATTCAAATAAAATTTAATTAAAGGAAGAGATATGCGTATTATCTTCTCACATGGGACCCCATGTCCAGTTTGAGTTGCAAACTACACCAAAATAAATTCCAAATCAGCTATAACTTAGTGATGTATCACAAACGAATCATAAAACCTCACTTGGTCACGTAGCGCTAGCCCATCATAGTAATTATAGTTGGACTATAACAAACTAATTCTAGATTAGCTATAAAACTTATTGACGTGGCAACTTCCTATTGGTTATTATTTATAATGTAAACAAATATTAAAAAGAAATAGTACGTCAACATATTCTATATTTATTTACATAAATTTATGTATTCATCCAAATCTAAATCCAACTAAATAATTATCTAACACATTTGGTAAAAAAATAATAATAATTTGAGATTTGAGTTATAATTTATCTATGTATATTGAAAAATAGAGATATTTTGTTAAAAAAAACATAGGTACATTGTATAAATGTGTCTTTTTAAGAGAAATAAATATGTTTTCACAATATCTCTTAGTTAGTGGTATTTTGTTTGTTTTATTTTAAAAAAAGTCAAGTAAAAAGGAAAAAAAGCCATACCAATAACATTTTAGCATACCTAACAAGAAGCGAAATAACGCCGTTGAAATTTGACCAAAATACCTGGTATTTTGATCAAAATGAAATTCAGACTTTAACCATTTCGAATTAAGTGTAAAATTGGTGTGCGGTTATATGAAACCAAATTGACAACCTCACTCTTAACACCAATAAGAGCTTGAATAACGTCAATAGCAGATAACAATTAATGACAAAATGTAAGGTTGTCATAATCATGAGTTTACCTAAAATCATTTTGACTAAGTGAAATCAAAATCAACAAAATCATGAGTTTATTAAATTTAACATAAAAATATATAATAAATTATATTTAACAAAAATTAAACAACATTTAACCAGATTTGTAGTTAGAATTAACAAGTTGAAATTCAAATATCCAATAACATAAACAAAGAAGTCAATTTTAATATCAATCACTAGACAAACTACAAATAAGATAAAATAACATAGAAAGTCATTGTTTAAACTTATCAAAATAAACTAAAATAAATCCCAAATACTATCATCAAGATCAATGTATTTGAAATCTCTCAAATTCTCACCTGTGCCTTTAATTAAGAATCTCAAATTGGTTTAGGCCATCTTACTCAAATTTAACAAAGTCCAAGATGAAATAGCCCAATAATTACAAGTGGCTCAATCATTAAAAAAAGAGATAAATTCATAAATTTATTCAATTTTATATGATTTTACAGTCTCACCCCGATTTCACTATGAGTTCATAGAATTACCTTTTAAGAATGATTTTAAACGAATACTTAACCTAGAGTCGTAAAATCTTACAATCTTACAATCAAAAACGTGATTTTGACAACACTGGCAACACTGACGGAGAAGGCAAAAAATAACATCACAGATAGCAAAGCAGTAACTATTGACAAAATAGCTACCGTAAACAAAAATAAATATAAATATAATAAATAGAAATAATACACCTATTAAGAGAAACGATATGTGGGAGCAAAGATTAAGTATTAAATTTAACTAGCAAATTACAGGATTACAACTCTAATCTAAAAAAAATATAATTATCAACTATTGAAACTTTTGCTCATCAGCACTTCTTTTTTTTTTGTTTGCCAAAAAATTATTAAAATATAAGGGGTTCAATACAAGGCCGAAACAGCACAAAAAAAAAAAAAAATTGAAAAACATGAATACCATACTAGACAGCAAAAACTTACAAAAACAGACCCAAAGACGGGCAACTTGATCAAAACATAAACACTTCTAGATGCATAATCTAAAGGTTAAATCCTTATTTTGGTCCCTGAACTATTGTACGGACCTCCGATTTGGTCCCTGAACTAAAGAAATCCCTGATTTGGTCCTTAAACTATTGTACGAACCCGATTTGGTCCCATTGTTTATAATTTGACCTAATTTGGTCCTTAAACTATTGTACGGACCCCCAATTTGGTCCTTACTGTTTACAATTTCGCCCCAATTTGGTCCTTGAGTTATTATTTAACAGAAGGACCAAGTTGGGGTTAAATTGGTAAACAGTAGAGACCAAATTGAGCATCCGTACAATAGTTTAGGGACTAACTCGGGAGTCCGTACAATAGTTTAGGGACCAACTCAGGGTCCGTACAATAATTTAAGGATCAAATTAGGGATTTCTTTAGTTCAGGGACCAAATCAGAGGTCCGTACAATAGTTCAGGGACCAAAAAGAAGGTTTAACTTAATCTAAAGCCATGAGGGAAAATAAGAGGAGACATCTGCTCTTTATTTTTCAATTATCAACAATGGAAGCTTTTACTCACCTGCTCATTATGCCCTTTTTTTTCAATTCTATGACTCAACATCTCATGTTCATTATACGTTACCAAGCTAACATAAAAATAAATAAATAAACAAATAATATTTATAATATGTATATAGTACATATAGTTTTGACTACCTTGATTCAGATGCATTGAACTTTTTATATTTATCAAAGTTTCATCTACTGCAATAACAATCAAATTATCCCCATTCTCTCGCATTTCCTCATGTTCAAAATGAGTTAAAAAGCTTATTTATATATAAATTTTATGTACCACTTTTATAAAATTATTTTTTTATTTACAAATGTTATAATAAATTTTAATTAATAAAAAAAATTATTAAAATTTTATATAAATATAATGTATAAAATTTGTGTATAAATATTAACGACTCAAGGTAACATGAAAACCAAGATGTGTGTTGATAGCTTCAGAAACGGAAATTATGACTCAAGAAGGGGAACATAAAGATCTAAGAAGAATAAAAGACATGGATTAAGTACCTGATCAAGCCGTCAGAGGATGTGGAGTTGAAATTCTAGTCACTGACGTTGGGGGTGGTACTGGTCTTGGAGAAAGATAAGGAAGACAGATTAACTTCGGGTTTCTCTTCCTTTCTTCTTATTTTTTCTTAATAAAATAAAAAGAAAAAGACAAATTTACCCTTAAAAACGAATTTAATTGACTGAATTAAGAAAATTTTAATCTTCTAAAAGAATTTATACATGTAAAGCAAATCCGCCACACTTTGATGTTCCATATTGGTAGGGCCCTCGACGACCATCCGTTGGCTGCCCTAGCACCCACTTTTAATTATATCCATTGAATTGATGTCCTTAAATTTAAAAACTTTGATTTGAAATGAAAACATAGAAAATAGAGGGCAAAGAAAAAAAAAGCACCCTTTTCTGCCTTCAGACAGTAGAGAAACAGGCAAGTTTAGCTCGAGCTACATCAGAATCTTCCCAATTACAATGCATCCTAGCTATTAATCTTCCCAAACCCTAAGTGAGGATTGACCATAAGTCCCGATTGCAAAGCAAATCCTGGCTATCAATCTTCCCAAATCCTAAATGAGCATTGACAATAAGTCGATAACCCTATGATATCTTTGAGACACATAGTAAGTAGATAAACTTTTGATATTTTTGAAACAGATGATGTAATACTAAGCGAACACAATACATAATATGCACAGGTCATCGGACAAATATAAGTAAAGGGTATGTATATCCATCCAATTTTTGAATGTAAGAAACCTGAGTTCACCAAAAAAGGGAAATAAATCCTTTGCAAATATTCATATAATTTAGCTACACTGCAGGCTCTTGACGTGAGGTAAACAAATCTAGTCAGTCTTACAATCATTAAGTACCTACTAGGGATCACAGCACCAAGTTTAGCATGCAGATTGCAGGGTAGTAAGCTATTTATTTGTTAAACATCATTACGGAGAAGCAGGGATGTCCTAGATTACTTCACTTGTACCCTTACCATCACTAGGAAGTTGTATGCAAAGATCATCCATGTTGGCAGAGCCTCGAATGCTCAATCCATGCTCATTGGCCAAATGCAATAGGCATATGAAACACAAATGAGGAGAAATTTCGTTAATGGTTACAGCAGCTCCACAATCAATAGGAAAGCTGGCCAGGAGGCGCTTGAAAGATAAGGTTGCTTCTACACCCTTCCAAAAGTAAATATTGTATTAAACTTTCAACTTAACCAAGAGGCAATAAAAAATATTTTGAATTGATGCTAGGTGTGCCAAAGTTAAATAGTTTCAATGTGGTTGATAAAAGCCTTGAAAATCTCATAACATGTGAAAATATCTTTTCCTTTATCATTCCCCTGCTGACTTTTGGTATTGAAAATTTATTTAAAATGCTAACAATATGTAATGCTTTGCAGCTTAATTCAGACCTGTAATTCATTTCATCTGATATATACCATTCTTTCCTCTCCATTTATTTTCAGAAAATGTTACTCAGTGCTTTAGTTGAAAGACGCACTTGTGTTTTTATGCAATAAAAGGCCATGATGCACTTTAGTGTCTCCATTGGGTTCCCGCCTAACTCACTGCCCTAATCACACTGGCCATTCAACTAGACAATCATGATATCATTACCTTCCACCTAACATAGGAAATCACCTACCTCATTTGACATTTGTGGAGATTGTTGCATGTGGTCCCAAAGAGTTGCTTTCAGGGCTTGGACATCAACTTGTTTAGAGGTTTTGTCATACTGAACCTCAATTCTAGATACCTGAAAATTGAGGAAACAAATAATAAGAAAAAACATTGTCTGAGCTTTTCAATTAGGAAATCAATCAGCCCTCCTAACTCTTAGGTATTTTCTAGTGGGAATCACTATGTTGAGAGTTGAGACATCAATAGAGTCAGTTAATTACCAACCTTCCGAGGCTGACAAACTATGGTATTCCCGTCTTCAACATCACTATGATCATTTCCATCGTTAAATTGGCCACTCAATATACATCCATCATCAACCCACGAAGGAAATGGTTCATACCCATCAGATTGATGCCGTGATTCACCTGAAAATTGAGAACTTGATCAAAACTTTTGTAATCTCTTATATAAGTAATCATATATTTCATCAGCAAAAAATGTTAAAAGAAACTATGCCGACGCACCAGACAATAAAAAAAGATAAAAAAAAAGTAATCAATCTATGATTAAGATGAAAAGTTCAGAAATGTTCGTAACAACTTCCCAAAATGCATTGGTTGAACAAGGATTAAATGATTGCTGCGATCAGAAACTGTAACCAGATTAAATAAGATTAAATATATGCAACTGTTTCAGTAAAATAAAGTCAGTATGTTGCAACATGATAGCCAAACAATAAGCATAAGCAGAACCTGCCAACAATTTATTGGAAGTTCCAACATTGTTACACAACAAAGTATCAAAACCAAATGTATGGCAAAAATTCCAAAAACATTACTAACTGAAGAACCAGAAAACAAGCTTATGATTTGAAAATGATAAATTATACAGACCAAAGGTTCATATTTGACATGAAAAAACATTTCAGACTACTAAACCATGTGTCAGAACTTTGAGGGAGAAGAAAGAGAAGAATGAAACCTTCCATTGTTTGGTTGGAGAGCGGAAGGGAGAGGGAGACATAAGATAACCTGAAATTTACTACTACATCAGAGAAATCTCCCCAAATTTAGAGGAACTGGAAAAACAACCTTGGATGATTACTTTTTTAAAAAATTATCACGAACAAGACAAAAAAACTCCACACCTTGCGTACTCCTCTTTTGTTTCCCTATTAGAATGTAGAATTACAAAACAAAAAAACTGGATGGCTTGCAATTGTGTGATGAGGAACAAGAAGAAGCTATTAAATAGTTATTTAGATTATTTAGGATTCTTATGTAATTATTATATTATGGAACCCATGTTTTACGAGTTGGACTGTACATTAAAAGTGCAGTTCATTAGATGAATTTATTAAAATACCCTTAAGGAAATAACATAAGAAATAGTTTTATTAAAGGTATTTTAGTAAATTCATGTAAAACACTTGATTGAATTATTATTATTCAAGTGTTATTTTAGATTATTATTAGTCTTCTAGTTTATTGGTCCCCAATCTCCAACATTAAGAAATATTCCTAATTAGGATGGGAATTCTATTTCTTACTAATTTAGAAATCTTAGGATTGTAAATATGCTCGTAAATTCTTTCATTATTCAATCAAGTAATCGAATATTAGGAAATTTGCAGCAAGAGTTTTCTCTTGAGATTGTGTGATTCAATCTTGGTTGTGTGATGTGACCAACATTAAGTGTGATGCTTAAGGTTCTTATCCCTTTTAGGTATGATGTCCAAAGAAACCTAGGTGTGATTCCTAGGATTTCCTACCTTTCTTGTTTGTTATTCTGTTTGTTTTCTGCTTTTCACACCTTAAACAGCTTCTTTAAACCCTACATCATTGTTCACGCACTTTGTTCACACCTAAACAACCCTTAAATCCCAAAGCCCACCGTATCTCCTAACCTGTCCCACATCAATTGGTAAGAGAAAAAGATCCTATGCCTTTGTTGCTGATTCTTTGTCTTTCTGTTTACCATTGATCCAACCCTCAAAAAAAATAAAAATAAAAATCCTTCAGATTGTTGAATTTTTTTTCTTCCATTATGGTGACAAACACTGAGTTGAATTCATTACTGAAAGAGATTGGAAAGAAATCAAATCTGCATTTAACCAGTGGGTTTAAAAATTGATCGGCAAGGAAATTCATAAGAAGAACTTGTTGAAGAAGTGGATGGCAACAACATAAAAGAAGATTTAGTGTCAATATAGGATAGCAAAGAAGTTGAAGTGAAGCTGCATGATGCTGTAGAAATTCAAGATGCACTAGAAACAAAAGTGGAAACCCAAGCATGTCTTGAAAAGAGCTTTAATAAGGCTGAATTTTCTTCTACTTTTCAAGATGTTCAAAGGTGTTAATGCTGTCTTTTCAACAGTGTTTGACACTAAACAAACCTCTGCATTATCAAGTTTGCTAGGATTGAAGGGGGAATCCAAGCTAAGTGAAGTTTTGCTGTCACCAAAGCATCTTGCAACCTTGAGATTTTTTGCTACTTCAGCACTTCAAAACTTGAGGTTGAGTATTCTCCAACAAGGGAAGAATTATAAGGAACAAGAAGAAGCTATTAAATATTTATTTAGATTATTTAGGATTCTTATGTAATTGTTATTATTCAAGTGTTATTTTAGATTATTATTAGTTTCCTAGTTTTATTAGGATTAGATCATTTATTCAAGTAGGTATCTATTAGTATTTTTGATTGAGCCTAAGTTCTAGTCTAATTAGAATAGGAATTCTATTTTTTGTTAATTTAGGAATCATAGGGTTATGAATATGCTTGTACATTCTTTCTTTATTCAATCAAGTAACCAAATATTCAGAAACTTGTAGCAAGAGTTTCTATGGAGATTGTGATGCAATCTTGGTTGGGTGATGTGACCAACCTTAGTGTGATGCTTAAGGGTTCTTATCCTTTGTAAGTGTGATGCGTAAAAAAACCTAAGTGTGATACGTAGGATTTCCTATCCTTCTCATTAGTTATTCTGTTTGTTTTCAACTTTTTCACATCTTAAACAGCTGCTTTAAACCCTACTTTACTGTTCACGCACTCTGTTCACACCTAAACAACCTCTAAATCTCAAAGCCCACCATACCCCCCAACGTGTCCCTTCTCAATGTGTCTGACAACTTTGTGAAAGAAGAACAGCAGTCCTGGAAAATCTACATGCTTGTCCAAGCAATAAAAGGAATAGAAAGACCAATGAGGGGTTGGATCAAGTGGTAAGCGGCTTGTTCCAGCTTAAACAAGATCTCGAGTTTGAGCCCTTGTGTACGCAGCAGCCCTCGCTGGGAGACTCACCCACCATTTCTAGGTGCGTGATGCGGGTCGGGTCCGGATTAGTCGGGGCGAAGCCCCGGATACCGGGCGGGAAACCAAAAAAAAAAAAAGGAATAGAAAGACTAAAACATTACTGCTTACTAGAAATCCAATAGAATATAGTACTCAAGAAATACTACTCAAGAAATACTACTTAGAAAGTCAGAATTACCAGGTGATTTTCTTTTTCCTCCACCAGTGCACTGCAACCAAAAGAAGAGCATTATTAAGAGGCAGCAAAAGAAAAAGAAATACCATGTTAAAAGCAAGCCAAATCTTAGTAGCAAAAAGGGGAGCACATTTACCATCACATTAGGTAGAAGAAATAATTTGATAAGATCCTCTGGTTGAAAGTGACAATCTTCAGGAAGCTTTGTGATAAAATGTGCTCTCTTTGCAGGTAGAATTAATGACTTTGGATTTTTGGGGGGGGCAAAGATGTCTGGGAATTCTTTGTCCAAGGCTTTTGTGAAATCAATATCAGAATCTGCTTCTTTTTTATTTCTGATTTTCCTACCTGTTAAGATGACTCCATTTTCTTTAGCAGTATCATCCCTGGAACCTACAAAAAGTATCTCATTTGAAAAGCATACTAAAAAACCAGAAAAAGGAAGAAGTTAATTGACAAACACCAGCTGTACTGCTCTCATAACACATACCTTTAGCCTTCTGATATTTCCAATGATCAGGACCAGCCCAAACATTTTGAATAGAAGAAAATCCCAAACTTAAAAACAAATACCCATCAACACTTTCAAATCTGTCATCTATATCACCAATTTGGGTAGAAAACTGTTCAGCTGGCTGCAAAAGCCAAAATATGAACAATAAGCCCAAAAAAAAAAAAAAAAAGAATGATCAAGAACTTCTTGAAAAATAAAGAGCCAAGAAAATAACAAAGGAAAAAGTAAACTCATGATTCATATGTAGATCAAACTCCACTTTCAGAGATAGTTCTGTGGAGGCATGAACCTCAGTAAAGCTTGTAAAAGTTGGATCTGCCACATTGAAGTCCTCATCAATAACACTCGGTTGGTCATCATGATCAAAAGCATAAGTTTCACAATAATCAAATGTATCATTGCTGTTATCAAATTCATTGTTTGCAGTATCAACTTCAGCTGTTGATTTCTGGCCATATGAGAAGGTATCTGGTGGCCTTCTATTATCTTCATCAAACTGACTGATTATATTCCCTAGAGTTGGTGAGATCCCATCCTTCGCTTGCATGTTTAATACCATCTTCTCAACATATTCTATGGACAGAAAAGAGAATAACAGCACTCAAAACCAAAATTTCTGGTTAAACTTGTTAGTTGTCACAGACCAGCAGGGACCAAGCAACTACTGTACTAGTAAAGAGAACAAACCTCTGGCAAAAGATAGATCAATCACTTCTGATTTATCATGTTGATTTGGACTCAGCATTTCCTTTCCTGGTACCTCAAAAGAATCAAAGAGCACCCGGCATCCACCATAAACACCAAGATTATTTAACAAGAGACCCTTGGCCCCACCTTCATCAAACTGTGCAGATGTCTGATGATAGAGTGGATCTACAGCAAACGCAACTGAAGACAAAAGAAATGGCATAATATTCCCAAAAAACAAAATAAAATAAATACTTATCATCAAGATCATTAGGATGTGCATAATTACCATCAAATTTCTTTATGTTAAGAGCCTCAAAGGATAACTCCAGAGTTAATAAAGGAGAGATCTGCATATAAAACACATCTATTAATTTATAACTTCATTAAGCAGAAAGTACTGTACGTACAGAAACTACAAACCTTTTTCTCTGTCTCTTTCTTTGAAGGACCTTCATCTTGTTCACTGTGAACAATGGCATCCTCCATCATGGTATCTGACATTAACACAACGTTAGAAATCTAGAAAACACTTGTGGAAAGAAAAATTCTAAGCTGGTTAGTTGTTTAAGAAAATTCTGATTACATTTAACTCTTAATATTCTTAGTTATTGTGTATAAATAGCCTATGATGCTGCCCCTAAAATAATCCAGTTAGTTTATATTATTTTGATTTTGAAACATAGTCAGTATATGAACATCTTCAGTATATGTAGATTCATGCATTAGAACACCATGGCAAACAATGTTGATCTGCAAAACTTAATAAAAAAGGTTTCAGGTGCATGTCTGTCATGGGTGTGTCTACGTATACAAATTGTATGAAAAATTTAGCTCTTTAAAATTCAGGAGGTTTTTGCACAATGTCTTGAAAGCATGACTTTTCTACAACCCCACACATGCAATTGAGGTTTCCCTATAATGAAAAATGGATTCCCTACAATGTGCTCATAACTATGATTTTCAGTGAATCCTCAGAGTCCTCAATTCGATAATAATGTAAAACAAAAAAGTTAAAACAAAAGCAAGGAACTTGTCAGTGGTGGCTAAGATTATGTAGAACAAATGGTCTAGACAGATGGACTTACAAAAAGAAGAAGAAAAAGAGAAGGAGACAGGAAATTACAAAAGAAGCATGAATGGGCAGTGTTGTCCAAGAAACCTTACCTTCATTTTCTTGACCAGCTCTGCTGATGCCCCCAAGGACCTTGTATGCCTCTGAATGCACTGAATCCACTCTTAATGAGTAAATTTTAACACCTGCTTCCAAAGTACAACTTGCCTGTACCAATGAAAAATGTCACTGCAAGGTCCATTCATAAAACTTGTAGAAACTGGTCTTAGGCCATCAATATCAAAAATTTATTGAAATCATTATCTAAAGTTTTTAGAACTGATTTTTTAATTATCATTCACAGCTTCAGCTCTATGACATGCACCAGTTAATTTTAGACATGTTAACAAGTAAAAAATGTAAATTTCAGTCAAAAGAAATTGTGTATGAGATGTACTCATCAAAACAACACTATTCAAGTACTTCTGACCATCAATTTGCCATTGAAATGATGGAGCCAAAATTGCCCCAAATTTTACAAAAGGAAGTGACAGATTTTCTAAAAGCTGCAAAATGTGCCTCATCATCACACTGCACAATATCAAGTATCAAGCAACAACAAATTGAACTCATTGACAAAAGTCCAAATTATAATTCTGAATTATACACCAAAACAACATGTAAATACTAAAACAAGAAAGAAAATCCTGTTTTACAGGCTGGACTGATCGGGACTATAAAATAGAAACCGTCTGATGTGGGGAGCACCCCCAATATCAAGGGACCCGAAATTATAATTCTGAATTATACACCGCTGAAATCCTTCACGTACTTTAGTTGAAATTCAAAATTCAAACTGTGAGTCCGATCCCATCAGTTTATTTTCTGGGAGGAATCAATTAATAAGAAGTCAATCTTCTATGATTTTACTGCTAAGAAAAGGTTTCACATACCTTTTGAAAATTCGTCTCTGTATCATTTTCTTCCTCGACCTTTATAATATCACATAGATGATCTATCAAACTCAACTCCCATGTATTCTTTTGATTAATTTTCTGCAAAGATAACAAAAATCCAACCATAAGATCAAAATAAATTAATCAAATACATAAAATAGCATTAAAAAATTTTCAATTTAACCATAGAACATGAATTTATTCAAGAAATTATCTAAATAAAAAAGTCAAGAATTTAACAAAAACTTATTATAGCGCAACACCTTTCCTCCCAATTGAAAACCTTTTCCACTTTGTAAGCGTGAAGAGTCAAATGCACACACTGTAAACCCAGAGCACCTAACCTTTTCAATTTGTAGAGCAAATTCCCACTAGGAATAAAGGAGAAATCTATAAACGCACGTAAGTATGCTTCTACTGAGAGAGATTGCAATTACATACATTTTCACTAGCCAATTTGATGCAATTGCGGAACAGCTCGAGAATTTGCTCTTTGCCGAGAATTGGATCCAGATCACAAGGAGGAGGAGCATGTGGCGCGACAGATTTGCGGCGGATGGCTGCAGCGCGAGCGGCGCGTGCCTGGGCCCGCTCGAGATTGTCGTCATTTGAGCCTAAGAAAAAAGGGCTAGTTGGAGACTGTATGCGGGAGGCCATGGGTATTCTCGGCCTAGGGTTAGGGCTCAGGGCTTCCGCCATTGCTGCGGATCAAGGGGTTTTCCTCGACCTCCTGGTTCAAGCAAATGAGATCTCAGGGCGTTTGGTCCCAAGGGGTTTTTACTTTTGCTTTTTTATTCTTCTGTTTCCCTCCAATTTATTGTTTGAATGCGGAGCGGTCAGGAGAAAGGCAACGTTGCGTCGGAGCTGTATGAGGAGTGTAAGCTGAAGACATATGTTTTGATCCTCGCCGTTGGTTTGTTCTCCCTTCCCTGGTGTGCAATTCTGAATTTCTCACTGGAAAATAAAGGAATTATTCGTAATATAAAGTCCCTCAGCGTATTAATAGATCCTCTATAAAAATTTAATAACTCACATAAATGATAATTAATATTTTTTTCTTTATAAAGTTTTGTATTTTTATTTGATAAAAAAATTAATTATTATTTATATAATATGTTAAATTTTTATCTAAAAATAGTATTTAAAAAATCGAAAAGTAAAATTAGATCTATTAAAAATAAATGAAAGGATTAGTAATTTTTTTATTATTTACAAATAAAAAATAATTTATGAATTTGTTTGGTTTAATTGTTATGAATATAAAATATTTATTATTTTACAATTTAAAATTAATTATAAAAAGAAAAATACTATTTTCTTACAATCATGTGGTCTAGGATTAAAGTTGTTTATATTTTAGCTACTATTAGTCATATGTTTGGGTGGTGGAGCTATTTATATTTTTATCTATAAGTCTAGAGTTTAATCTCTAGTATCTACCTAAAAAAGCTAATCTTTTAATGTTTCTAAACACCATAATTAGCTTTTTAAGAAAAAATACTATATGCCTGTTTGTTTTAATATTTCATAAATAATTGTCAATTATTGATTTTAATCCAATAAATTAGATACTTAAAATTATTAACAATAATAATTATCAACTGTCAAAAATCAACTATCAATTATCAAATTCATCTAAATAGCTAATCCAAACATCCCTTATATCATCTTATCTTATAAAAATCATTTAAACCAAACACACCCTATATTTTATATCTTATAAAAATCGTTAAAATTTTCCATAAATCTCATTTAAATCTTACTACATAATAAAAGCGTTAGGATTTATTTACATATAAATCTTATAAACCACACATATACAAAATCTTGATCATTGATTTCTCTACTTTCAATGGTTAAGATTTATTCACTTTTTATCATATTTATTAAAAATAATTATATTTTTTTATTTAAAAAAGTTATGATAGATCCTAATTGTTAAAAATAGAGAGATGAATGATTAAAATTTTATATAAATATTGTGTGTAAAACTTGTATATAAGTGGATCCATACTCATAATAAAAATTGTTGAAATCTTCAATAAATCTCTAATATATACCAATGAACCTTTTAAAATCTTCAATAAATCGTCTAAAATCCTAAATAAATACCCAATCAATCTCTTTTAAAAAACACTTTAAAGGAGGCTGAGGCATGATTAAAATACCAATATCATTTAAAAAATATTAATAATTTTTTAATTCTTATTATAATCCTTTTAATAATATTTAAAATTTTATATACTCTCTTATCACAATTTTAAATTAATATATACTCATGTTTCCTCTAATATCCTCTCTTCCCAACTGCTCATAGCAAAAGTGCTTAAGCATGTTACTTACTTTATTCACAATAAGCAAAAAGAATTTATAATTGCACTCACTACTTCCAAGCATAGAAACTCATTCAAAAAGCTAAAAAGAATGTCTTTTGATTAAAAGAATACGTCAGTAATACCATTATCTAACTATCATAGTAGAAACAGGGTGGATTCCTACATGAAGGTTCAAAAAATAATTGACTTAGAAGAATAGTAGGGACTTTCCACATCTAGGGCTACAATGAAGAACAAATTATATATAAAATGTATATGAGAACAAAATGTTGTCATGTGTGGAGACAAGGTTAGTGTAATAAAATGCCCCATTTTATGTCCTAGACACAAGAATCCTAACCTCATAAGTGGGATTCTAAGGAAATGTGTATTATAGCTAGTCTCTTTAAGATCATTTCATGAATTCTTAGAAGGCATTAGGTCTTCTCAACCATTTATCCACATAGAATCAATGGGAGATATTTCCACATTCTAATACACACAACAATATGACATCATAGAGTATTGTATTAACATGTGAAAATAACCTCATAAGAATTTACCTTACTCCTCATGTGATACCCCAAAAATTTCTAGGATAAATAAGTGAGTTAAGGACTTGATTGTGAGGAAATGCTGTTTTGGAACTTAATAGAAAAATTTTTTAATTTTAAGGGGCTTAAAAGTGAAAGATATTAAGATAAGGATTGGGTGATTTTTTTTCTTCCTTCTTTCTCTCTTCAGCCGCGTGTTTCTCTTCTTCTTCTTCTCCCCTACACCGAACAAGAGCCCCAGCCACCACCGACGCCCCCCCACTTGAGAGAAACCGGTAAGAGCTTGAAGTTTTCCCCTTCCTTTCCTTGTTCTAGGACTGGAATTGAACCCAGAATTATTCCCCCCTCTGCAGAATCCCAGATCTGCTCTGCTCTGCTACTTCCGGCTGCTGCTCTGCTGTGTGAGGGTGCGAATTGCTCGAGTTTTTGTGGTAAGATTCAGCCAAGATATCATCTCTTTAACCTTGATTTAGGCTGGGTTTACTTTAATTGCTTTTATTTCCTTCCAATTTCTGGTAGCCGCGAGTCCCCTACAGATTGTCGCCGGCCTTCCCCCAAACTGCAGCTCCGGTTTTGCTTGCAGAATTCTGGTATGTTGACAGCCCCTCCAAGCCCCGAATTTGTCCATTTATTTGTTGCCTCGTGTGTCCGAAAATCTGTTGGAAATAGGGGAGAAATTTGATAGTAATTAGACCATGATTTAGCTTAATTCATGTAGAAATTGGCTTATTTTGGCTGCTGTGATTTTTGGAGAAAATCCCGTGAAATTAGCTAGTGTTTTGCCAATTTTGGAAAGTGCAGTTACTGTTCACTGTTCATAGATACTGTTCACGCATTGATGGCCAACAATTAACGGGGATTAAATGTTTAGTTTGGAGATGTCTGGTTATGTGGAGATTGATAGAAATAGCATTGTGATTAGGGGGTAGTCATGGTAACTTTACTTTTGAATCCGTGGTACAGTAATTAATTTTTGGATATTTTGATTAGTTTCTTGAGTGTTCTGTCACCTGAGTACTTGGCTTGAGTTCCGGATTTGAGGTAAGTAAATTTATGGTAACGCTCTTCGATTTTAAAAGTATGTTTTGACTTGTTTTTGAAATGGTGGTGGGACTAAACCCGTTTTATACCAAAATAAGTATGACTGATTTGAAGTGAAATTTTATGTTTTTCATTAAATTGAGCATGCCTACTCGAAATTTAATTGATTGTCCTGATGATTTGAAAGTGATTGGTGAATTATGATTTTTCCATTAACTTCTCGCACTGTAACTGTTTTTCGTGATTACATTTGTTGGCATGCTATAAGTTTAATAAGGGGCACTCCATATTTTACTTACTGAGTTTATCTCATAGTTTTTCCTTGTCCACCATTTTAGGAAGCGAAATCAAGGACGGGGAAACCACGGAAAGCGACGAGTTAGAAGCTAGCCATCTTGTAAATTGAACATAGATTTTAGATATAGTCATGATCTTGTAAGTTAGACTGTATTTGGAGATTTTATGATATCAAAGTAATATTAAAGATTTTATTTTCAGATTTTGTGGTATTAGATTGTGGTATGATAAGTTCCGAGCCTTGTGCATTTGTGCATTTGTGGGACCCTCTCACGAGTGCACGGCGTCTGCCACGTCCTCGGATTTGGGTTATGGGGCGTGACAGATTTAGTGATATTAGAGCTTAAGTTTAATCAGATTGAGCAGTATCAGAGCAGATTTAGTGGTATTAAAGCTTAGGTTTAATCAAATTGAGCGGTATCAAAGCAGATTTAGTGGTATCAGAGCTTAGGTTTAAATTAAGAGTTTAGGTTTAAATTAAGTACCTCCAGATTGAGTGGTATCAAAGCTTAGATTTAATTAAATACCTAGGTTTAATTGAATACCTAGGATTTGTTTAGAACTTGGCTAGCCAATGGATTTTAGAACCGTGGTGAGACGAGTGATGGGGTTATATAAGGGACGATTCTAATTCATGTTGCCTGAATTTTCTAATCCATTTTGATGAGATGGTGATTGGATTGTTCTTGTTTCCTGCCTTCATACCCTATGCAGATTCATGAAATTAATCTTGTCCACCATGTTCTTAAAACCTTGTTTTGAAACTTGGTCATTTTCTGATAGTTTGCACTTGTTTAGACTTGTTACTTGAATAGAATTTTTGTATGCTCTTTTGCCACCATTGTAAAATCTGGGGAGTTGCAGAGATATTTTGTTATTGATCCTGTTGGTCTCTACAGCATAGCTGGTTGAGAAATTTGTTCTATTTGTCACATGACCAGTGGAAGATGGGAAACCCTCTACTTTGTAAGAGATTCAAGGCTGTTTTAGCAAATGTTGTGTGTTTTTCTAGATGCATTTTAGGAACTGGATAACTTGGTAATTTCGCTGCTCATCATCTTTCTGAAAGTCTTCTCATCATCTTTCTGAAAGTCTTATAGTGAAGTTTCACTTTTTCCATTTGGAGCTTCATGGTCTTTTCATGTGGCTCATTTTTCTATATTGGTTAATCAAAAACAGTTATCAATTCAATTGAAATTGCCAGGTCTTTGTGAAGATTGACAAGTTGTCATAAAGTTAAACTCTCTATTGTTGCTAATCTTTACATTCTTGATACTTGGGAACTGCTTGAAACTCTTGAAATCTATCTTGAATCTTTTTTGAGATTGCTTTGTACTTTTTCTTGAAACTGAAATCCAAAGGAAATGGATAATGATTATTGAAATCCTCATTATCTTGATACTTGTCTGAAACTATTTCTTGAAACTGTTTCTGGCATTGTGCTTGGAATCGGTTCATAAACCTTGCTTGAAATTAATTCTTGTTGGAATTCTACTCTTGAAAATCGACTGATATTGTTCTTGGAATCTTTTTTTGAAAATCAATTGATATTTGGTTTTTTGGAATCTATTTTGAATTGTCCTTGAAAACCGTTCTTGTCCTAACCCTTGCTCTTGTTTAAATTCTGTATACTCCTCTTGCTCAAATTTCGCATATTCTGCTAGTTCTTGATTTAGTATACCTGTTGATCTTCTTGATTTTTGATTTTGTTCATATGGCCACCTCTTTAGGAGGGGTGATTATTATTAGAAAATACCTATATGAGGCATCCTAATCATTGTCTCTTGCAAGTGTTAATCTCTATATTCTTGATGTTTTGGCTTTGATTTGACTCTAGGATGTCTAGGATGACTTGATTGTAAATCTGCTTAGCCTCCATGAGCTATGAGGTGAAGGGGTAGTCTTTAAAGTACTTGATGTCCTAGAGTTTTGTTCTAAGAGAAATGGTTCTTTTATCTGGCTGTTTTGATTTTTGTTTGCCCTTTTAATTAGAAGACAATAATTTTCTAAGTATCCTGATCCCCCTATTGATTATTTTGTTAATTAATTCGTGTTACGTGGGGTGCTAGATCTTGACATCTTGGTTATATCTGCTCTTGAATCCGTGTTCTGGTTGTCATTATTGAAATCTCTTTTGTGGGCCTAATCCTTGAATTCTATTGCTTGTTTCATGGTTAACTCTTGTCTCTCAATTTTGACTGCTTGGTTAAATTTGATCTTGATTCTTGGTGAATGTCGTTTTATTGTTGACTTTTTGAGACATTCTACCTTACACTCTTATGTTCCAATATGCTTCCAAGCATTCATATTTTCCATTGATTTTATTCTGTTGCAATTCTTGAGATTCTTACATGTCTTTTGATGGTCCTAGCTTTCAACTCTTGTTAATTGCTAAAATCTGTTTCTTGATTCCAGTTGCTTGTTAAACATGACCTTGCTTATTGGTTAACCTCGTTGTGGCAGAATTTATAAGGCATCCATGCACTTGTTCATTCATTCATGATCCATACATCCATTGAATGCTTATTCGTCTTTGATAGAGTTCAAAGTTTTATTGTACTCATCTTTAAATACATGCCATTCTTTCCCAACTCGTCTTGTGTTGGGTTCATAGCGTAACCCCACAATTGTTCTTTTGTGGCTTTGGCAGGATTTATTTTTATTTCTTGTGCTTCCCCATATCACCCCAGTCTCTAGTAGCTTGTTTTATGGTAAAACTTGTTAAGTAGTTAATGTTCTGCTTTTAGGATTAGTTGTGGTTTGTTATAAGAGTGGCGTAGTGGAAGCGTAGTAGGCTATGTTCTGTTCATAAAGAGTTGGTGAGGTATTTGTTTTGTCTCGGATTGTGTGAAGCCATTCACCACTCGAAATGATCCTCAATTTGAGTTTTGGGGACAAAACTCCTTTTTAGGGGGGGTGGATGTGATACCCCAAAAATTTCTAGGATAAATAAGTGAGTTAAGGACTTGATTGTGACGAAATGCTGTTTTGGGACTTAATAGCAAAATTTTTAAATTTCAAGGGGCTTAAAAGTGAAAGATATTAAGATAAGGATCGGGTGATTTTTTACTTCCTTCTTTCTCTCTTCAGCCGCGTGTTTCTCTTTTTCCTCTCCCCTACACCGAACAAGAGCCCCAGCCACCACCGACGCCCCCACTTGAGAGAAACCGGTAAGAGTTTGAAGTTTTCCCCTTTCTTTTCTTGTTCTAGGACTGGAATTGAACCTAGAATTATTCCCCCCTCTGTAGAATCCCAGATTTGCTCTGCTCTGCTACTTCCGGCTACTGCTCTGCTGTGTGGTGCGAATTGCTCGAGTTTTTGTGGTAAGATTTAGCCAAGAAATCATCTCTTTAACCTTGATTTAGGCTAGGTTTACTTTAATTGCTTTTATTTCCTTCCAATTTTTGGTAGCCGCGAGTCCCCTGCAGATTGTCGTCGGCTTTCCCCCAAACTGTAGCTCCGGTTTTGCTTGCAAAATTCTGGTATGTTGACAGCCCCTCCAAGCCCCGAATTTGTCCATTTATTTGCTGCCATGTGTGTCCGAAAATCTGCTGGAAATAGGGGAGAAATTTGATAGTAATTAGACCATGATTTAGCTTAATTCATGTATAAAATTGGCTTATTTTG